AGTACGCTCGATCAGGAAACGATAATTTATAAAAGACGTGGTATCTAATGTTTTTTTGCTTTGATCTTACTCATTTGGTCTATAGATTATAAACTCGTATAGGTCTATAGGCGCAAATATGAAGTTTTGTTTTAGTTTATTAACTAGCTCAATTTTATTTATTTGCTTCCTTTTATTTTAAACGCGTTTTATTTTATAAACTGTATAAATTATAACGAAACAGTGTCACAAATTTGTTTTACATTATTCCAAGCTCTTTATATTTTTAAAACAACTTTGCAGTTAGTTTTAATGTTGTTTTATAGCTTTTAACAATTAAATACTTTTTTTAAATTAACACATGTTTTAACGTCAGCATGAATGTATTAAATAGTTTTCTTTGACTAATTAAAGTGGTTTAGATATTGTAATGTTGCTTTTTCTCTTACTTTTTTACTTTTACTTTTTTAAGTATCATGTTAAGTAAAAATATACTTAAAGAAATATCTTAATAGTATTAAAAACGTTATTGCTTATTACAACTGCAACTTAAACTTTAAGTTATAACTTAAGTTGTAAATAATGACAGTAACTTACGCTATTTTAAACTCTGCCAAACATGAAAATTATAAGATTATATTTAAATATGAGAGATAATATGCTAAAATTAGAACAATTACGTACAAAACATACAATTATATACTAACGCAACTTTCCTCCCTCCCCCATTACCGCAAGGTATAGGAGGGGAGGGGGGGGGTTAAATTTTTTTTTCTTCGCTATAAGATTTTTTTGCGTTAATTCGAGCCCTTTATATATATATATATATATATATATATATATATATATATATATATATATATATATATATATATATATATATATATATATATATATATATATATATATATACACACACACAATTGTGCGAGACATTTACAAACAGTTTTAAACTAATGATGTGTAAAGACTTATCATGCTATAAATTATGGCATAATAATAATAATAATATTAATAATAATAATAATAATAATAATAATAATAATAATAAAAATAAGAATAATAATAGTAATAATAACAATAGCAATGATAGTAATATAGCAATCATAAAATAGTAATAATAATATTAAATACAGTAATATAAAACAATATAAGCTATAAAACATTTGTAGCAAATAGAGATTATCATTAGTAATAATGCAAAATAAAAAAATTCAGATATCATAATGATATCACAAACAAAAACAAAATAATATAACAAATAAAAAGAAGAAAAGAAAAGGGAAAGAAGTTAACAACACGGAATGAAGAGTTAAAGAAGCAAAAGTCCCAGCAGAGTTTTTTATGTATCAGAATTTTTCTAGCATAATTTTTTAGAAGGTAATAGAATTATAGATATAATATATCTATATTTCTATAGATCTGGTACATAAACTGATTTTTTTGAATTGATCAAATACTAGAACTTTATATATTATTTGAAAGCCCTTTAATTCAGTATTTTAAAGGTGAAAAAATTATGAGAATTGAACAATTAAACAAAAAGTTATGACGTTTTTAAAAGCAAATTTTTGATATATCGATTTGTTTATAAAACTGTCAAAAAAACAATATTTTTACACAAAATATTATAAGTTTGTCAATTATTATACAAACAACAATAACTTGGTAAAAAAAGATAGGCGTATGAATTAGCTACAAAACTTATTTGGTCGCAAAATATAGGGTGTACTACAATGGGGGAAGGGTGTACTGAACCACCATCTTGGCATTAAATAAATGCAATGTTTTTTCATAAAAGAGTATTTTTTAAAATGAGTTTGGTAATTTTTATACACAATAGTAATTATAATTTGTTTCTAGACCACTATCAAGTGTAAGACATGTGTTTTAGAGTTATGTTGGGTGTAGGTGGTGATGGTATAACACAGCCTTGAAATAAAATTTTTTATTTCATTAGTTTAATCTTCATTAAAATAATTATATATAAAAAAATAAAAATTATATACCTCTTTACAACATAAACTAATGGTGTAAAGATTTAGTTTAAGGGAAGGGTAGTTACCAGACCGTCCCCCTTTTTTCCTTCAAATCAATAGTATTTTAGCCCCTCTGCTTCCTCCTTTATCCATACCCAAAGTTACTGAATTCATGAAAACAAAATTTAGGTATTATTTTAACATATTTTTTGATGACAATTGCCAGGTAGAAAAGAAAATTAGTGTAAAAAATGTAACAAATGGTTTTTTTTACAAACAACCTAACTTTTATTTGACAACATCTTACCTTACATCAACAAAAATTTCATAAGCAATAAAATCAATTGATAACTTGAGAACCATGCATAAAAATTGAGGCAAAGTTCATATATATTTCTAAAAGAAACTCAACTAAAACACATTTGTCTGATGCTACTAAAAAAGAAAGTTCAAAAAATGTGTCTTTTTTAGCGTAATTATCTGCTCCAGATCTAGCGAACCTAATGCATAAAAAAAAAAATTAATTATAAAGAATAACTAAACAGGGGCAATTGCATAGAAAACAGTTTATGATTTATTTTTATTTATTATATGTTGTGTGGTTTAATAACAATGCCACAAACTTTACAGTTGTATCAGCTATCACAGGATGATGAAAATGATTGTGACTTAATGATTATTTTTTTATGTTTCATTTTTAGAGTTTTATATTTTTATTTCTATCTGATGATTTATATATTTTTATCTATGAGTTTTAAACTATTTTATTAAAAAATTTAGTTATAGAAAGTAACTAAAAGGGGGCGAGTTTATTTTATTAAGGATAAACTTTTTTTATATGGATTACAAATAGGGTTGCCAGATACAGTTCGTCTAACGGAGGACTTAGAAAAATCAAAAGGAGGACAAAGGAGGGAATACTTAATTTTAGTAGCAAGGCCGACAATACCAGCCCCCCCCCCCACCACACACACACTTTTTTTCTAAAGGACCTTTTTTTTTTTTTTCTTTAAAGAAAAATCTTGATGTAGAGTACTTTTTTCACAAATTGATAATTGTGCCCCCTACTTCAAAACCTGTGTCGTCAGCCCTGAGTAATACTTTATAATGGAAGGTTGTTCTAATAGCGTTTTTTATGATGAGAGGGGCGAGACTCTAACGCTCTAGCCACGGTACTGACACCAGATACGAATAAACAATAAAGTATAATATTAATTTTATATAAGAAAATGTTAGTGGTTGAAGTGAAATTCAGCAAGATTATCTGCAATTGAAAAGAAGTGTTCATTAAATGTGGTTGTAATTATTTTCTTGTTATTTATAGTTTTATTATTGATGTTTAAGCTATCTTTATTATTGCTGTTCTCAGTGGTAGTGCACTTGCCTTAGAAAGTGGCGCAGTGGTAGCGCACTTGCCTTAGAAACGTAAGATCCGTGGTTCAAACCCCACCTCTGGGCAAGTTTTGTGACATCGGTTGGGAAGGAGGCGTGAACTTTCCAAAATCAACTTTAAAAAAAAAAATAATAATAATCATTGAGTAATCTTTTAAGCGCATTTAAAAACTCTGAAGTAGAATTATTAACACTATAGTTTCCTTGTTGATTTATTGGAAGGCAATCTGTTTCTTTAAGGTCTTTTAAAACATCTACAAGATACTTTGGGATAAGATTGTTTTAAAATATTGCATGGAAAAGATATGAACTGAATAAAATGGTCAACAAGGGTACTGTTAGGTTGCCTGATTTAGTATTCTATGTGTGAAAGTTTACAAATATATTATCTTTGATTTTAGAGTAGTTCTGGTTGGTTGAGTAATTAATGGGAAGAGAAAAAACAAACACATATCACATAAGTTAGAAACATCATTACAGAAGTCATATTTTAAAATATTAATTTTGAAGTCTCCTGAAAAAACTATACTTTTATTCTCTAGTGATAACTTGTCAAGTAGGGTTTGTATATAAGTGATATTGAACTCACTAGTGTTTATACATGAGTGGCAATAAATGCAACATGCAATAATATTTTTTTCTGATGACAGTAAAACTTCAATAAAGATTGATTCTAGTTCTTTTTTTCTTTTTTAAATTTTTTTTAGAGTTTTTAAATCAGACATTAAGTTATACTCTAAATCAGGTTTTATATATATATATAAAAGTTCTTCCTTTATTAGAAGAAGTATCATTATGTTCAAAGACAATTAAAGTGATATCAGTTCTAAATGTTTTGTTGTGATTTAAGCAAGTTTCATTTGTAGCAATTATATTGGTTTTATTATTCATAAAGGAAAGCAGAAGTTTTAGGTCCATAAGGTAATATGCCAGGGATGATCCATTTACATGTAAATAGGTTTTGAATCAATACTAATAGCTTTGTTATACTCAGTAGTATCATGAATAAGAGATTCATAGTATTAACAATTAATATTATCACTGTCAATTATCCAGTTACATATCCAATAATGTATCCAGTTGTGAAATAAACCTCAAAATTATATAAATATGTGTTAAAAACAAAATATAAAGATTTTTTCGTAACCCTGGGGAATATAATAATATCATTGTTATCATTTAAAAATATTTTATGCTATTCAAAGAACATGGTTTGAATTGAAAATTTAGCTGTAAAGTTTTTGAGGTTATAATAAGTTTTTGAGGTTTTGGTGCTAACTCCAAGTACCAAATTCGTGCAAAATTTTTTTTTTCAATATTTTGAAATATTTTTGTAACAAAATCATTAGTTATTTTCTGTTTTCATTAATTTTTTTCATTCATAAGTTTTTTTCTGTTTTCATTAGTTTTTTTCATTCATTAGTTTTTTTTTATTTCAAATTTGGCATTTAAGCAACCCCAAAAAATATTTTCAAAATTTTGTTCTAAGTTTAATGATTGTTTACTTTTTACTTTATTACATTTTTTAAAATTTTCATTTGTTTATAATTCTAACTATAAACTTTAATGACTTGCAATTACTAGCTTACTTAAAAAAAAGTCTATGTAAAACAATGAACGTAAGTTAAAGTTTTATTTATTCTATTATAGTAATTGAAAAAGTAGAAAATGTTTGGTCTGAACAAAGAAGAGAAAGTAGAACCCAGGCTGAAGATATTCAGTATGAAAAAAGAAGAGAAAGTGAGATTCGAAATAAAGATATAGTACAAGTAGAGAAAAATTTAAAGAATGAAAAAGTGATGAAAGATTTTCGAAAAAGCCATAGTGAAAATCAAAAAGAACACTTGATGGAACATCATAATGAGGAGGTTAACAAATTTATATTTACAAATCTCCCGTAAACTAGGGGTATGCTTGTAAAAACTCTTAATTTTTTTGGAAATTGTTTTTTTGTCAATATGATAGTAATAGTTTTTTATTAATAATATATTGCTAGTTTCATTAAATAAGTGTACATACAATATTCAATCTTCTACTGCTATATTGTAAATCGTTATAACAGAAAGGTTCTATCTTGCATTTAATGGCAGCAGTGAGGCGAGGGCTATCTATTCTGTATACTTACTTCATATGGTTTATCTGAGAAAGTTTTTAAAATTATTGAATCATTATTTTTTAACTACAAAATTGTTATTGATGGATAACACTCTTCTTCATTTCCATTAACTTTACAGGATTCTTGGTTTTGTGTTCTTCCTTATATATAATTTTGTTCTTCCTTTAATTATTTGTTTGATGTTTAATACTACAGTCTTGACAAAAATTCATTGCATTTAGATTGCTTAGAACACGCATTTGATCATGAGTCTGATTTCTCTTCTGAGACAACTTGGGCTCTACAGTTGCTTGCAACCTTTAACTATAACAACATTCAGTTATTTACTGCTTATAATTATCTCAATACTATTGATATCATATGTAATAATAAATGGCAACACTTTTTACAAGTCCTCTACTTTACGTTTTCTCAGATTTTCATTCACTACAGATTTTTTATTAAAATTGTTAATAAAACCTGCTGCAAAGTTAGCATCTTTTAATATATTTTTCCTCTCTTTATTATGCTTCTTCCTTTATTGTGTTGGCTATTTTCTTATTACTGGTTCCATACTCTAGCTCCATAAATCTCTTATTCATCATGTATGGAGTACTGTTGTCATATTTGTGCTAGTTCTTATAATGAGTAACTAGCATGAATATCTTTTAAATTAGGTCTTTGTCTAAATGATCCCTCTCTCTTTTAGACATGCAGGCCTCGATGAGCTATTGATTTCTCTGCTTGACTTTGGTTTTATTTTTTTGTTGCAACATCATTTTTTAAAACCATATCTGAGGCCTGGACAAGAATTAAAAACATTTTGTAAATGTTGTTGGAACCATCTCTAGCTACTAAATTTGGGCCACTGTCCCATTGTTGTAAGGTTGCATTTTTTTCTTTCCTTCAAATACTTTCATGGTTGCTGCTCAAACAAGCTATCATCACTTGTTCCATCAATTGAAACTCAATCTTGTGAGACTTGTCATTCAGCTAAGTAGCATTCTTTTACAGGAATTGTTCCTTTATGCTCACCCACACAAGTGCCAGAAAAACTACAAATCATGTGTCAGGAAAACACCCAAATAATAAAATATTTGTTTTGGCAAAAAGAAACAATATTGGTTCATTCAGCTATTAGTAATTTTAATGGCATTGTAATGATATTTTATAATTTCTAAAATTGGTCTGTTTTACCGAAATTAGGCTTTTTGCTAATATAAATGCCAAATTCAAAACATCAAAGTTTAATGTTAAAGAAGCTGAACAGACTAGCAGAACATGCTGGAGTTTTTCAACCCTTATGTTTTTTTAAGGAATATAATTTATGTTTTGTCTCTTTTTTTGTAAAACTTACTATTGTTCAAAAGCTGATCAAAATAAGCGAAAAAAAGTTGTTAAAAACAACTTTTTAAAGTTTTTTTTTTAAAGTTTTGATAAAATTTAAGTATCTAAAAAGTTTTTTTTGTTTGTTTCAAATTAAAAATTTTTTTTTTTTTAATAAAGCAAAGACAACTTATCTTGACATTTATTGGTTCCCTTTTAATCTGTTGAATCCAGCACAAATTCATCATTAGTTCTGTGCCACTAGTCCCCACTCCAATATAATTATTATTTTTATTTATTTAATAAAAGAAAAGTTTTTTTTTTTTTAGTTTAAAGGAAATTACAGAAATGATGTCAAACGTCTAAAAAAAGAGACATCAGAAAATAATGAGTGGCACTTGAATAAAGAAGTGTCTCAAAACAATTTAATTAATAAGAACATAATTCAGCAAAAAGAAGCTAACTACTATAACAAACAGTTGGTTAACAATTTTCGAAATGAAGGTGCTCAACAACCCAATTATGAAAGACAACCAAAAAATTCTTTTGCTAACACTAAAAGTTATGCACTTAATGAACAAAAAGGTTCAGAAAAAGTTAAAGAATCAAAAAACAAAATAAAAAATGAAACCAATCTACATAATTATCAACTGGAGATTAGGGAATCGGCAGATGCCAATTCTTCTGCTGAATACTGGTCTCAGCAACATAACATACAAAGTTCTCAAATAAACAATTCTAAAGCTTCTTCATCATTTGAAAATCAAAGCATTTCTTATCAAAATTTGGATGTATCATCATTATCAGTAATTGGTAAGTATTGGCTTCATGTCTTTAAATTTGAAAAATAATTGAAGTTATGGAAATTTTCTTTCATTTTTGTTTTAAATTTGAAGACTATAAAAATTAAAACATCTATTTATACAAAATTTCAAAAAGTTTTCCAAGTTATAAAGTTGCTTTTATAGTTAAGTTATAAAAATGTTGGTAATAACTGCCAAGTAAGTTAGAAAAAAATTTGCTAATAAATGTTAAGCAAATTATTTACTTATTTTTTAACATTTTTAGTTTTTGCACAATTTTTATATATTAAACAATAAAAGTAATAAACAAATTAAAAAGTGAAAAAAAAAAAAAAAAAAATTAAAACATCACTAAAGTGACATCTAAAGTTTTAAGATTGAAGTTTTAAGATAGGAGAGAGTTCTAAAGCATTGAAGTGGGGGAAAAAACTAAATAAATAAAAGTTGTTAGAACATGTAAGGGCTGAAACAGTTAAAGGGTATGACCTTGCTGAATGACAAGAATGAGTTTTGGTAGATAGCAAGAAGGAGTTTTGTAGATAGAGTTATGATGAAATATGAAATTATAGTTTGTTTGAGCAGTAATCAAAATAGTATTTGTAGAAAAGAGAAAGAGATGCAACCTTAAAATGACGAGAGAGTGGCTCAAGATTGGAAGATCATAGCAGGTCCCAATACATTTCCAATGTGTTTTTAAATGAAGAAATAACATAATAACAGTAATTATATATGAAATATAATAACAGTATTCCATACAGGAACAAATAAGAGATTTCCATACAGGAACAAATAAGAGATTTGTAGAGAAATAAGAGATTTGTAGAGAAATAAGAGATTTGTAGAGAAATAAGAGGTTTGTAGAGAAATAAGAGATTTGTAGAGAAATAAGAGATTTGTAGAGAATGGAATCTGGAGTAAGATAATGGCAAGCATGATAAAGAGAAGCAATCATAGCAGATGCTAACATTACAATTGATTGTTTATATGGTTTCCATGAGAGGTCAGTAGTGAATGATAATCCATAAAGATGTAAAGAAAAGGACTCAATGAGAGGCTTGCCATTTATCAAAAAAGGAATATTAAAAATATTGGGATTGTCGCGTGCAATAAATAAGTTTTGTTGAAGTTAAAATTCTCAAGCCACTGCAAGACTGAAGCTATCATAGAAAAGAGATTAGATTTAAGATCAGCTGCCTGTTCCAAGCAATCAAAAAGAAAATATTTTTTGTCAAGACAGGATTATTAAGTTAAGTCATCAGCAAAAAGAACTTTAGATGCAATATTTTTAGGAAGATCATTATTGTAGATAAAAAACATTACAGTTGACAAAGAGAAGGAATAAAAACTTCCATGCATGCCTGGATCCGAGAGGTTACGTAGAAGGCACATTTATCATCAGAGAGGCAAATGATATCATTCCAAGGACCGCCAAGAAGAAAATTATGAAAAGAATTCAAGTCAGCTTGAGGGTAGTAGTAAGTAGTGTGATGATAGAATGAGCCTGAAAAAGAAATAAGTGATAGAAATTGTTGTATGGTTGGAACCACCTAATTAAGAACTAGGAGAAACACAAGCTAGGGTCAGAGACAAGACACAAATCAAGGAGTGAATGTAAGTGATTAAAGCTGTCTTGAAATAGAGGTTAACTATCTGAGTAAGAGGTTGACAAAAGCTGTGTGCAATTAGTTTGATGAGTCACTTATAACAACAATTTAGCAGAAGGATAAAAAAAGAGCTTGTTTAATTTGATCTGAAATCACATTTAAATGAGTTCAGTTTAGAGAAGAAAGAGAACAATAAAGAAGCAAGAGAAAGGTTATTGAGATTGATAAAGTGCTTACCAGAAGCACATAAAATTATGGTCAAAGGCTTCAAACCTCATTTTTTAACAAAAAGGTGAATTGATATGTAAGTATATGCCAAAAGCCTTCCATGTGGCTATTACAGTTTTTTGCAAATCAAAGGATAATACTCATTAATACTGAGATCTGAAGAAATAACAGCGTATTTCAAGTTAGTCTCACAAAAAACAAATAAGTCTGGTAAATCAGAAAAAGCAAGTAAGTCTAGTAAAATTAGTCTCACAAAAAGCAAGTAAATCTGGTAAGTCTGGCATTTGGTAAGATTTAACTGATGAAAATTTATTTAGAAGACCACAAATATTTGTAAAAGATTTATTGAAACAGTTTGGTGATGATTTTTTGCATTTAATATTTTCGGTTAGGCATTGTTTATATTAAAAAGAACTTGACTTATTTCGAGAACCTGGCACCCCAAGCAATGAGCTATGCAATTTCCTTAGTCCTGCTAAGGACTAATTAACCCAAAGTTATAACTTAGAGCTTCTAATGTGGCCACAACAATGCAGCACTAAAAGCAACAGAGACACGGTCCATGGCAACATGGCACTGGTAGTACTATGAGAGCTACCATAAAGTTTAGAAAATCTTACTACCAACCAGTTTCAGACCCTTTAAACTGATTTTAGAGCTGTACCCTCTGTAGGAGATGACAAGAAGAGTTGCATAGCCACTCTCAAGGAAGCACAAGCAAAAATCTATGAGTAAAAGCAAGAAGATCCAGCATTCATCATCCTAGGTAAGAAATATTATAATAAAGGTTTACATATACTCCAGCCTAATAAATGAATAAGAGGTGTGAGGCTGATCAACAGAATTATTCTGCTTACCCCTATAGTCTTTGTCTATGAGGCCTTCTACAAGACATTAGTTGGATGCACTTAACATCTGCCCAAGATGAATATTTTTATCAAGACACTGTCTCTAGCTTTTACTCAACCAAAATCCCCAGGGCAGGGGAATTTAAAGTCAGGGTTTATATCTTGTAGTCGTTGTCTAGAAAATCAAATCCAACAAGGCAGCAGGGCATAAGGCAGGTAGTACTTGATTATATGTTACCAGTAGAAGGGTTATTGTGATAATCCTGAACCTGACCTGACATTTGATAATTTCATATTAATTTAATAATAGTTCAAAATCTCATCTAACATTTAAATGACATTTTTTAGTTTGGTTTTAATAAGATTTTTTTGTTCTTATTAAAAATAAACTAAAAAATGTTTCATTGTCATTTGTTCCATCTCATTCTTGTTAAAACTTAACAGAATTTTTTTATTTTTTTTTGAAAAAAAGTTTCTGATAACAAGAATCTATATTGATTTCTGTGAGTTAATAAGCATTTGTTTATTTTGATTATTGATTTTTTTTATGATTTTATTTTATAATTTGTTTTCCACAATACAAAAAATAACTTTCTTTGTTTTTATCTTGAAAGAGTTTTAATATTTCTTTTTATTTTGAAAATGTTAATATTAAATTAGTTTTTTTTTTTACCAAAATCACACCTAACTAATCAAGTTAGGAGTTAACAGAAGAAAAAAAACAACAACTTAAACAACAAGAAAGCATTGACTTGACTGTAAACTGTAAATCAGGATAACATAAAGACAGGTGAGAATTCTAATGTACTGATGTACAAGAAAAAAATAATTACAGAATCAGGGCTCAATTTAACAGTCGGACATCGCTGCCCCTCAGGCTGTTTTTGAGATCTGATTTATGGGGGCAACCAATCATTGTTCATTTTTACTAAAAATATTAACAATGGTTTGTTGTCCTCCTCTAGCAGGTTTCTAAATTAGTCCGAGGTGCGGCGATGTCCGATCGTTAAATTGAGCCCTGCAATATAAGAATGCATTTTTGCTGAATAACTTAAGTCATTCAGAAAAAGAGATAATTGTTTAAATAAGTTTTAATAGTATTTATGAGCAATGACCATGGTAGTATTTGTTAAAAAAAAGAAAGAGATGACAAAAACTAAAGCTACGCAGGTTTTAACAATAGTTACAATGTGCTTTGAGCCATGTCAATAAGTGATAGGGTCTCATTAAAAGAACCAGTCCAAGTATGACAACATTGTATATTTAACGTCTGCTGGAAATTAGAATCACAGATATTGTTTTCCATCAGCCAGGAAAACAAGATAAACTTTTTAAATAGTTTTCCAGCAGCCAGGAAAACAAGATAAACTTCTTTAATAGTTTTCCAGCAGCCAGGAAAAGAAAAATTCTTAGATTAGTTTAGAGAGTAATGACAGAAATGTTTTCAAGTTGTAGAGAAATTTAAGTATTTTGTTCCGATACTTTTTTTAATGCAAATTATATCTATAATAGCTTCTTTTTTTTTTTGAAAAAAAATTAATTTTTAGCAAAATTTGTTTGATATTTTGATTAGTAATGTTTTATATCTCTATTTTTTTATCTCTGGCGTCCAGGAGCTCTATAAATATTGGTTATCTGCAATAAATAAAAAAATTATGTGATTAATTGACTTGGACTTGTTTAATTTTTTACTTGACTAATTGTTTTTTAGTCTGGAGTAACCAAATCTGATGTCTTTGCTGCCATTATATATAGAGACTAGATTCAAAGTTTGATTACTCTTCTTATCTAAATTTTGTTCACAAAAGTAGTCCATAAGTCTATTTTTGGAGCTCCTGGATACCAGTAACCAGGAAGAAATAATCAATATTTGACTTTCAAATCCCGAGTCCATTCTGGAATTTCACATCCTTGATTTTGATTTTTTTTTTAACAAGTTTTTAACTAAATCACAAATTACTGCAATATGTTACTGGAACAAGTTGCTGAGTTGTAAATATCTAAATGAATTGTAACTATTTTATATATTTTACACAAACTTATTACGCTGAGACCACAGTGTTTTAATATATTTTTTTTCCTGTTGAAATTTCTAAATGCTAATTTTTAAATTTAAAAAATATTTAGAAAAAAGAGCACCTAAATGTATTTAACAATTTTTAAACATTTTTCACGTTTAATATTGTTAAAATTTGAAATAGTTTTGGTAGTTGAATTTGTAAACAAACAAATTTGTTTTGTTTGTATTTAGACTTGTTTGAACAAGTTAGATGTTTACCAATTAAACTAGTTAGATATGTTTCCAAGTTTTTTCTTCTTTATTTTCAAGTTTTTGATCATTATTTTTAAGTTTTTGATAAAGTCTTAAATGTTTTAGAAAAGGAAGACAATTATTACAACTACAATAAAGAAAATATTAAAACATCAAAAGCAGCAATTAACGATAGAAGATTTTCTATTCCTAACTCTATTCTTCGACAATCTGAAGACAGTTCGTCTCGCTCATCTTTTAGCGAGGGAATGCAATCTTTTGAACACAATGAATATCGAAGAACATCGTGGAATGATGAGTCAAACTCAAAAAATAAAAAGGTGACAATATGTATATATATATATATATATATATATATATATAGCTTGCACAGCAAGTTCGTTTTTTCTTCAGGTCTTGGCGGGAATAAATGAGTACGAGAGCGAAGAAAAGCTCTCCTAAAACCAACTTGCTGTGCGAGCTGCTCCTCATTTAAATCGGCGCTATTTTTTAATTCTATTTTTTTTTTTGCATTAACAGTGCCATTTTAAAAAGCATTTAAGTATATTATGCAATTAATTTTTCTAAAATGACATTGTTTTTTATTTTATTTAAAATGATAATTATATTTTTATGAGAAAAATTATACTTTTGTGAGAAAAATTATACTTCCTCGGCAGGAAGCGAGAGCTAAAGCTCTCACTTCCCACCAAGGCCTGTATATTTATATATATATATATATATATATATATATATATATATATATATATATATATATATATATATATATATATATATATATATATATATATATATATATATATATATATATATATATATATATATACACACACATATAAATAACCAAGGATTGATTTAAATATTTTAATATATAATAAGATATATATAAGATATTTTAATGACTTTTTAATGTCACCTCAAACCCAAAATATTTGAAGAACTTTTTAATTTTGCCTTAAAGCCAAAACCATCAAACTGTTTGTGGAAGCGAGTTAAACTTTGTTTTTTTAAAAAAACGCTTAAACAATATAAATGACAAAGCTAAAATTGATAAAGCTAATTGATAAATTTCTTGTTAAAGCTTGTTGGTTTTTTATCAAATTATTTTTAAAATACTTTTGTTTTAAACTTTTTAGCACCTTAGGCTAAATAAATCAGTTGATGTATGCACTCTCTGCTTTGCTGATGGCTAAATAAATAAGTCAAACTGTTTGCTCTCATCAATCTTTGAATAATTCAGTTGATAAAGCAAATACAAAAAAATAAGCAAATAAAATGAATTAGTAATAAACAGGATGTATAACAATAAAAAAAGAAATATTTTTAATTTAAATAACCAAAAACTTTCTAGTCCATAAAGATGCCTTTTTATGGTTTTTAAAAAAATGTTTAAATTTAATTAGTTTCCTCAATTTATTGTTTATTTTGCTTGAGTTTTTTCATAATTGTCAAGATAACCTATGTACTGTTTTTCTACCATTATACTTAGCTACAAATAAGAAGGAAAAATAATCAAATATAAATAATCAAAGTTAAATAAATTAAATTCACAATTAAGCTTTTCAAAATAGTGGTCTTCAGTTAGGACCACTAACTAAAGCTAGTGGTCCTAACTGCTAAGCTAGGCTTGTTTTGAAAAGCATTAAACATATGTTATTTTACTTATGAGCTGCCTAAACTGCAGCGTCCCGCACTCTATATTTGTAAAAATATTTTTTATAATTTAATTTTTAGGTAAACAAACAGCAACTTAGTGTTTCATTTGAAGAACAACAAAACAACGCGCCTCAATACATCACTGATTTTCAAGAGCTCTTTGGAAGTTCAAATTTTGAAATGAGTTCTGAAGAAGTAAACAAATTTGAAAAAAATCGAGAATATAAAAAATCTAAACGAGTACAAAAATCTCATTCACTTACGGAGGGAAAAGCACGAAACCAACAGTTAAAATCCAGTTCAAGCAATATGCAGTACACACAAACTCAGTTGAATCAAGATGTTAATGCAATTAAAATACTAGGAGGAAGTCATATAGAAAGTGGAAGTTATATGGGAAATTCAAGTCATATTGTAAATAGAGGTCATATGGGAAATGAAAGTCATATAAGAAACCAAAGTCATACAAGTGTTGGACTTAATTCAGGGAGTGAAAATTACAGAGGAAGTGAAAATTACAGAGGAAGTGAAAATTATTTTAAAAATTTTGGAAGTCAATTTAAAACCGAAATAGAAAGCGGAAGTGATGTAGGAAGCGTAAGCCACTTTTCAAGTACTTCAAACGAATCTAAAAAAAAACTCAATATAAAAATACAATCAATAAAAAAAGAAAAAAATATATTACAATCAAGTAAATCGCGAGCTCGATCATCGATTCAAATTAACTTACGTAATAATGACCAAGATTATCATTTTGGATCAGTTAATGTTTCAGAAAAAAATGGAATCATTACGCTTGAGATGGACGAAAATGATAGTTTTATTTTTAACGATTCTGAAGATAGTGAATTTGAACACCAGTCATCATTTAATAACGAGCAAAATATTTACGAAGAAAATGAACTGTCTTATCGACATCATGAATCGTCTTATCGTGCTAATCATAATCGTCGTAAAAGTGAAGGAGATTTGTTGGTTCAAAGGAAAAGTATTGATTACTTAAACCACTCTTATGAAGATTTACTTAATGTCAATAAAAATACAGATGTTGAGACTATTTATTATACAGTATGTACAAAATACTTCAAACCAGAAAACGAAGATTGGATCGCAAATATACATAGAATGGGTAATTTTAATGTTTTAAGTGGAGTTAATCATTTAAATAATTGCGTTTTTTGGAATAACCTTTTCGATCGAGATAACGAAGAAATTGTTGTTCAAAAAATCATCCCACAGGAAAATGAAAATAGTTTTTCAAAAATTGAAATAACTAAACAAGACAACTCAGTTTATTTCAAAAACAGAGAAATGAACAGCAATATCAAGAATTCAAAGAAACACTCTGAATATAGAAACAATAAAACTCAAAAAAGGAAAAGATTCGGTTTATTAAAAAAACCACGTGATCACGAAATAACCCCAATCTTTTTTTGAAAAAAACTAAGTGACCATGAAATATTTTTTGAGTATTAAAGTTAAACTTTTTTTTCGTTTTTAAATATTTTTTTTTTAAACTGTTTTATTTTATTTTGACCTATTATTTTTTAAACATTTTAGAGGTTTTGTGATTGGATATAAAATTATATCTTAATGTTGTAATTATATCTTTACCCTGTAATTTTTTTTGACAGTTAACAAAGTTTGACAAGTAACATTTTGTCAAATAATATATATATATATATATATATATATATATATATATATATATATATATATATATATATATATATATATATATATATATATATATATATATATATATATATATATATATATATATATATATATATATATATATATATATATATATATATATATATATGTATATGTATATGTATATGTATATGTATATGTATATGTATATGTATATATATATATATATATATATATATATATATATATATATATATATATAATATTATATTATATTATACTATATTATATAAAGAAAATGTTGTTAAAATATGAAAACTAATAACAAAATGATAACAAAATGCTGGTCATTAACAAATAAATAACAACAAATTTATTTACACTATAAAATATAAAAAGCTTTGTTTAAACATAATTAAATAAACAGCAATTCCACGATCGTCACAACTTGACTATCGTGGAATTGCTGTTTATATTTGTGTTAAGCCTTTAATTTTCTAATATTAAAATAGATATAAAGAGTAAAATTTTTCTATTTAGTTAACTCACATCAGGTACTGCTAAAAAAATTTAGTCGATATATTAGCCTCTCGTTCATGCAAAAAAAAAAAAACGTCACAGCGCGACCAAAATGTTCTCATCGTTTTTTCATATTCAGATCAACACCGTGATTCATCTAATATAGATGAACTAAAATATCATTTGCATTGAACAAAAATTTTTGTACATACTCTTATTAGTTTTATAGCTAAATAAATTTTTTAAAATAAAAATTAATTGGGCGTAAACGTCACAGCGTGACCAGATACTTGCTAATTTATAAACCAGGTTAATTGGCTGTTTTTAATAAAATTAAAACCTGGTATCGAGCTATAAGACAAGTAACAACTCAGTTTATAATTACATCTTAACAAAAATAGTTCTTATAAAGTTTTCCTTAGAACACGCCCATATTATATTAGTATCAAGCCTGATCCATATTATGTCGCTGTCGTAAATACTATGTTATGAAGTTTTTAGGTGATTTAATCTGGAGACAACTTGTTTCACTAAATACTTTGCAATCGCAAGTGCGGCCGTGGCACTGGTTAGAGCGCTTGCTTTGTAAGCAGGAGATCCAGGTTAGAAACGAGCTTTGGGCATATTTCGCGTTGCGGTAAGGAAGGAAGCGTGAACTTCCTGGCTGCTTGTGCTTTTGTAAATAAGATAACTCATTAATTTTAAATTTTTTTATTGTATTTATAAGATCTTCCATGGAAACAAATTAGACATTAAAATTAGTCTTATTTTTAACACCTTCATGAATTAGTTGTTTACTGTTGTTTAATTAGTGAATTACTTCATGGTATTAGTTATTGTTGATTTTCTGTGGATTATTTTTTGCATAATTCTTTTAAAGGTCCCACCAATAGCATCTACTTTTCCATGAGAAGCTGCAAAATAGTTCCAAAATAATTTTAAATTATGTTGTTCTTCTAGAGTATTGCTAATGCAATAAAATGATTTTTAAATTGATCACTTGACCTGTCTGCCCAAGCCTCTGTAGTATTTTAACACTTGACTCAACACGGTTAGGTAATAAATTATGATCATAATTTATCTATTCTTGTACTTGTTCATATGAACAAGTACAAGAATAGATTTTTTCGAATGACTTAAATCATCTAAAACTATGGCAGCTGATGAGCATGAATTTTGGTACCAAAATACAGCAGTATTTTCAGTAACTTGCTTTTTGTGTCAATGTGATGACAGCACTTCATCTTGCCACAAAGTTGAAAAATTTACAGCAAAATCTACTTGAAGTACGGCAGTAATTGGATTCTTTGAAGTTGCATCTTGTGGTCACAATATGTCTTAGATTGTTTAATAAATTATACGTAAAGTTGCAAACTTTGATTTTCCGAGCAATTTTTCAGGATTTAAAAATAACATAAGCTATATTAATACTCATAAACAAATGACGCTTTTATACAGTTTCTTTCTTGTCCTTAAATCTCAGCACCATGATGTCTCTTTTACCTGGTGCTTGACGGGATACATCATCACGCTGGTAAAAATCAATAACTAATTATGCAGTATAAGCACTTATTTTTTTTTACTATGCATTTTTTCTGGTATATGGATTTCATAAATTTTTTTAAAAGGTTGCGTACAACTTTTTCTTGGTGATTTTGGTAGTTCCAAATCGGCTCTTCTAACATCTTCTAATATTTTCTAGAATATTCTGTATTGTTTACTGCAAACTTTGCCTTTTTTTTTAGAAAACTAAGAGTTGTACAGCAAATGAGTATGTTTTTTGCAACCGGAAAGTAGCTCAAAGAGAAATCAGTGAGGACAAGCTGATCATAATGATGATACCTATATTTTTGTTAATCAAAATGAATGCAGGATTAATTGCAACTTTGTTAAACAGATTTAGAGTGAAAAATGATATTGAAATAATGTGTTGCGTTGAGAGAAATCTGTCACTAAAAATCTATGTTCTAGGTAGACTTTAATTATATTTAATTTTTTGTTTTATTTATCTTTTTAATTGGTCTATTAATATATGCATATATATGTAGGTCTATAGAAAAAAATCTAACGAGTTATTTTTTTATGCATGACGCAGGAGAGGGTTATAATTTACGCATGACGCATCAGTGAGTTAGAATTTACGCATGACGTGTCAGAGGGTTAGAACTTACGCATGACGTATCAGAGGGTTAGAGTTTACGCTTGACGCATCCGAAAGAATTTTCCTGGGTCATTTGAGTAACTAAATAGCTTTTAGTTAAACATATTATATATATATATATATATATATATATATATATATATATATATATATATATATATATATATATATATATATATATATATATATAATATTTTTTGTATTTTTGTTTTACAATGTTTCTAGTTTCACAAAATACTTCATTTTATATTAGATTCTCATAAAATAAAATTTAAAGAAACAAAAAAAAAAGTTGATAAATGCTGTTTGTAGTACACATAATATACATAAGTATTTTATTATGCATAAATATGATAATTATTGATTTATATTGATTTTTTTATATTAATATAAATTAATGAGATTTTTTGGGATTTTGTTTTCAACGCTAATTTGTTCATTTCAACAAGAGATCTTAATCTTATCAAAAAGACATTAGAGATGCACGGAATCAACGTTAGTAATTACCGTGGGCAATAGTATGGTAATGACTCCAATATATGTTAGGTCTACCCTGGGTTGCAAGTACTTTTTGAGGATTTAAATCCATTAGGTGAATATGCTCTATGCGCCCGCTATTCTTTGAATCTGGTTGGTGTTGTAGCAGTCTTGTGTGGTAGTTACTTCTTTCTTTAGCAATCTTTATTAGCTAGATAAAATTTTTTCTGTTTCAACGCATCACTCGGCAGTCTTCACTTCAAAACCGGAAAAGAGTTCCAGAAGGTCTTTTTCAGACTAGACAGCCTGCATGTGCAGATGCGTGTTTTTTTCTTCAAACGGGTATTTTGTTAGTTACAAGGTATAATTATCAAAATTCCAAAGTAGCCTTAAAAGAACTGAAAAATGATAAAATACAACAACTGAACACATCAGTAAAAGTAAGTAGACTTCTCAGAAAAATGGATTAGCTGGCGACGGCCGTCATAGTAGTCATCTGGATCACAATAATGAACAGGCGCAACAACGTGAGTAAAATGCTGACCAGAAATAAAAAAATGCGCTAAAATACTAACATGGCTTATTCAGGCATGAGACACAATTCAGACATTATTAAAAGAGGAAAAATGATTGCCGAGGTTAGTATCATCATGGATCTACTTTTAGCTGAGCTTGTTTATGGTCGACTTATCTCTCATTTCTGATTTTTTTTATATTTTCTAAGTGTGTGTTCTATTCCTATCATATCACCCGCCTTTATTAACATGTCGGGAAGTTATCGGCTGAAAGTTTATAGCGGTTGTCACTAATGGTCCGCTTAGTACCCGATGAGCAAATCTCATTGATCTCTATAATAACTGGATAGCGCATCTCTAATATCATAATTGACGCCAAAATCGCCATATTGGAAAGCCCCAAAACGCTGAACGGAATTTGTAAATACAGAGATTGCGCTTGAAGATTTGTTATTTGTTTACTTTCTACTTCCTTTATATTTACTAAATTATAGTTGCATACTTCAATCTTATTGTTATATTAAAAATGTTTGAAAGTTTGAAAATTGACAAAAGCACAAAAAAAATTTGAGTTGAATAAAAATAAAGAATATAGGAGAACAGACTGTTTAATAATTTGTATTTGTTTTGTATAAATTGGTTACCTTAATTAATCTTCTTATGTTTAAAATGAAACTATTTTGCTGAAAGTCAAAAGTAATATTTACTCTGGTTACTTTAGAATGTTTATTGTTACAACTTGATGCAATTTTACTTTATAATAGCAGTGAGAAAGTAACTTTACAAGTATAAAACATGACAAAAAAATATTGTCTCAAAGATTTTTTAAATGGTTTTCAAAGTTTTTAAAAAACTCAGGATATGTTGGTTTCTTCCGCGACTGCCAAAGTAATACCATCAACTTTACAATAGTAGATTGAAATTGATAATCACACACTACCAAGTTTTAGTTAAGTTAACAAGTTTTATTTCTGTTGCTTCACAAACTTTTATTCCACTTATAAAAAGTATGAAAAAGCTCTAAATTTAATAACTACTAAGTTTATATGTTGTTACTAAGTTGTTTTTCTGCTATTTTGGTAACATAGTTTTTCATCAATCAAAGTATGAAAGATCTAAAGATTTACGTTTAAAACTTATAAGTAAGCCTTTGGCTTAGTTTTTCGACTAATCACTTTAAATACAATATCAGATTTCAGCTAAGTTAATGTACGGATTCAAAAAAAATCTACGAGGTTCAGAGTGTTGTGCATGTGGGTGCAAAAGAAAGGAAAATAACTGGGTGTTGAAGAAGCAATACTTTAGGAAGTTAATATAATATAAGAATAATAGAATTATCTACAATAATTCTTATATAGTTACTTTTATAGATATATATAATATATATATATATATATATATATATATATATATATATATATATATATATATATATATATATATATATATATATACATATATATGTATCTATATATATATATATATATATATATATATATATATATATATATATATATATATATATATATATATATATATATATATATATATATATATATATGTATATATATATATGTATATATATATATCTATATATATATATACACATATATATATATATATATATATATATATATATATATATATATATATATATATATATATATATATATATATATATATATATATATATATATATATATATATATGTATATATATGCAGGCCCGGCATATATATTTTTTCAGAGTGTTGTGCATGTGGGTGCAAAAGAAAGGAAAATAACTGGTTGTTGAAGAAGCAATACTTTAGGAAGTTAATATAATATAAGAATAATAGAATTATCTACAATAATTCTTATATAGTTATTTTTATATATATATATAATATATATATATATATATATATATATATATATATATATATATATATATATATATATATATATATATATATATATATATATATATATATATATATATATATATATATATATATATATATATATATATATATATATATATATATATATATATGTATATATATATATATATATATATATATATATATATGTATATATATGCAGGCCCGGCGCTAGACATTCTGAAGGTGGGTGAAAAAAATATTTTGGCGCCTTTATAAATCAAAATTTATATTTTCAACCTAATTTAATACAACTCTTTTGATAAAATAATTTATTTCGAAAATATTACTTTTCGAGCTCTCCTTTTCAAAAACTTCAACTGGATATCTTTAATATTTAAATCAGCGGCAATTTTATTTTCAATGGAAATCATCTCAAGGTTGTTCAACCTGTCCTGGCCCATTGTCGATCTTAAATAATTTTTGATAATTTTTAATTTCGAAAAAGATCTCTCGGCGCTAGCTACTGTTATTGGTAATGTAAGAAGAATTCTCAATGCAATAGATACATTTGCATAGATTTCATTCAAACCATTTGCGTAAAAATATTTTATAGCATTTTTAGGATCCAAATTTTCAGTAAAATGAGAAGAAAGAGACATTAATTCAAAACTTAGTTCCTCGCCAGAAATATCTTTTTTTCCATTTTCAGATAGTTTTTTTTTCAACGCGATGCAATGAGATTTTAAATCATCTTCCTTGACTGTTGAGAGCTTTTTAATATCAAATAAAAAGCTAAAAGGTGCAATGCCAGCATTAAAATCATTAAATCTCTCTTCTATTGCAATAGTAGCACATTCAAATATTTTATTAAAAACATCTTGTTTATATTTTTCTTTGTTTTTCAAAGTTTTGTTCAGGTTCATCAAAGAATCTCTTTCTTTTTCTTACTCTTGGAGCAGATTCTGATGCAAAACTTTCTTCTACCTTTAAAAAAGAAGCAAGTTCTTGTGCAATACACACAACAGAGTCAAATTTATCCTGTTTGTAATTTTCCTTAAAAAAATTAATCGTTCTTTCCATTGCTTTTAAAGCCTCTGAAATATTCGTTGAAGCTGCTTGAAGTTGTTTGCTAGTCAAATTAGTTTCGAATAAAACTTTATACCAAATTACGATCGAACACAAAAAATCGAAGCTTGTTATTTTTAAAGCAATAGACTCTGCTGTGATTTTTGCAATTGTTTCATTAGCGGTCTTAGCCGCATCTTACAGTGCTTCATAAATTTTTGGCATTTCAAATCGAAGTGTTTTTACAGCATTGATGTGGCTTTCCCATCTTTTATCACTTAACGGTTTAACTGTTAAAGAAGGACACTTTGATTGCAAAATTAAACATCTTTTTGTTGAAGCAGGAAAAAAATTGTAAACTTGATCAATTATATTGAAAAACATAGCAATTTTAGGTGAACATCTCACAGAATCAACAACTGCCAGATTTAATGTGTGACTGCAGCATGGAATATGAACCGCTCGGTTGTTTTTTATTAGAATAAAAGCCTGTACACCATTTCTTACGCCTTTCATATTTGCACCACTGTCATAGCTCTGACCTCTTATGTTTTCTAACGACAAGTTATTTTTTACCAGAGAGTCAATAATCTCATTTGATAAATCTAAACCTGTCGAAGCTTCAATTAAATGAAATCCAATAAAACTTTCATTAATGTGAATTTCGTTCTTATCCTCTACATCAACATATCATACAAGCATTGACATTTGCTCCTAGTGACTGATATCTGGTGTACAATCAACAATAATTGAAAAATACACGGACTTTTGGACATTTGAGCAAATTTTAAATTTAATGGATTTGCCAATCAAGTCAATGATTTTATTCTGAATATCTTTTGCCAAATAGTGCACAGAAATTGTTTTTTTTTTTGCTCTAAACAAATGTTTTTCCATAACTGGATCAAATTCAGCCAAAAATTCTAAAATTCTTAAAAAGTTTCCATTATTATCATGATAGACTTTGTCACAAGAGCCTCTGAGAGGCATATTTTGCTTTGCCATCATAATAGTTAGAGAAATTAATCTTCTCATTACGTTGTCCCAATGATCTACTTCTTTAATTAAGTTTTTATCCAAAATTTTATCAATTAAAGTGCCTTTTTGTAATCTGTTTTTCAGACCCACCCACTTGCTGTAGCAGTTAAAATGATCAAGATTTTTTTCGTGTCTTTTTAAGATTCGTGAAATATGGCGCCAATCATTACCACCATTTTGAGCCATCATAATAGAATTTAAACAAAAAAGTTTACAACAAAATAAAAAACTTTGTTTGCTTTTTGTGAATAAACTAACCACGTTCTATGATTTTTTTCATGACGCGGTAAAAATAATGATTGAAAAAACTCAAATTATCAACATTTCTTGGATAGTTATTCGAACCTTCTTTGAAACTGTTAGGACCTTTTATAAAAGCATTTTGTATGAAATCAATGTTTAAATTTTCCTGCCAATCGCTGATATTGTCAAAGTATTCTGAAGTAGCCGCAGTTTCATTCAATCATGCAATTGTTTGAATAGTTTCAACTGAATTAGTAGATTCAGTTGGTTTGCTTTCATTTCCAGAATCAGCTACATTATGAATTAATGGACTTTCTTTGGCTATATTAATCATGATTAGTTTTTAATAAAAGTTTTTCTAAAGATGTTTGATTTGATTTCAATTGTTCCTCTTTTCGTAGGCGTTTTTGTTTAAATTCCCAACCTGAAAATTTACTTTTCTCCATTATTCTCTTTGAAAGAAACCAATAAATATTATAAATAATTTTATAGCAATAGTTAGATAACGTTATATCATAATAAAAAAATTATTAAAACTCTGAAATAAGAGCGCTAAAACACTTTAGAACGAAAAAATATTTAACGCAAAAAGAAAAGCTACTTTTAAAGCTTTAATGATTGACTAATAACTAACCCAAAATAACCCGAAATAACTCAAAATAACCCAAAATAACCCCAAAAAAATGTACCGATTAACTGTAATTAAGTTAATCTATTCAAATAATTGACCGATAATACAATGTGCGATATGATTGATAAATAATTAACTAAAAATAACCCAAAATAATCCAAATTTTCTAAACTAATTTATAAAGAAACGTTTTTTTAATTTAAAACGCTTTTATAAAATTTCTTGTTTAAAACCCAAACGATTTTTTAAAGAAATGTTTGCTTTTCTTTAGAAATTAATTTCGATACAATGATTCTTTTCTTTTTTTGATTGGGTTCGTTTTTGCGCCGCAAGTAAAAACAACTTTACTAGACAATGTCAATGATGGGTTAGCGGAAAAACTCAATCATGATTTTTTTTTAATTGGCTGAAACATTTTTAAAATTGTACAATAAATAAATTAAAGAAAAATAATATTTTTTTTTTGAGTAATTATGGTTTTTATATAAAATATTATAGACTAATATTTATATAAATAAGTATACAAATTTTTATATAATTCTTCCTATAAGTTTATATATTTTCATACTCTCAATAAAAAAAATATTTAACATAAATTTTGCGCCTTAGTCGCCTTGGCGCCTGGGTTAAAAACACCCGTTGTACCCGCCTTCCGCCGGGCCTGTATATATGTATATATATATATATATAGATATATATACATTTGACAGTGTCAATTACTGGCTGTTGTTTCAGAAATTACTAGATAATGGGTTACCCAAAAAACTTGTTTGTTTGCTTGCATTTTGGTATAGTAATCAACAAATGTTCGTTGGCAAATGTTCAACAAATGTTCGACAAATGTTCGTGGCAAATGTTCAACAAATGTTCGATGGCAGAAAATAGTTTTGGAGTTGTCACCACTTCTATTTAACTTTTACATACAGTATATGATTTTATTAATCTCAAAACTACTTATTGGGTGTAATATAGGTGCCCAGCCGGCACAATGCGTGTCAAATAAAACCATTAGTTCCTTACACGTGTTAAAAACTTTATAAATAACGCATGCTTAACTTTATAAATGAACAGGTTCTAAACTCGTGTTAATAATTCCGTCATTTAGAGTGATCAACAGGAATTTTTATAAATAATATAAATTGCTATAGTAATTTAAGAAAGAAGACAGTAAACTTAATTAATAATAAATATGATAGATATCTCATAGTAGCGCCTACTAAATGGCAAATTTTATGTGTCCATAGGATGAGTTCATTTCTTATAAACTTATAAACTTACGAAAGTTTTTAAGTTTAAGTTCAAACATTATTAAATATTGTTCAAATATAAATTATTTAACTTAGCTGAATATTATATATTTATTTAATATTATTTAATAAATTTATAATTCAAATTGATTATATTTTGTATTTGTAAGCTGTTATAAAAATATAATAATCCTATTCTCACAAGAAGTTGAGTTATATATTTAGTTATGTATATATATATATATATATATATATATATATATATATATATATATATATATATATATATATATATATATATATATATATATATATATATATATATATATATATATATATATATATATATATATATATATATATAAATATATATATATAATAAGAGTTATTGTTTATGTTTATATATATGAACATATACATAACTAAATATATAACTTAAGTTATTGTCAGAATAGGATAAATATGTTTTTATAACAGCTTACAAATGCAAAACAATAAATTAGAATTATAAATTTATAATGTAAATTATAATATAAATTTATACTGTAATTGATATTAATCACAGATATCAATTACAATTTAAGAATGCTCAAAATCAACAAGCGTAAAAATTGTGGATATATGAAACGTTACATGAAAAATTATCGGGCTAGGTCAAATTTATTAGCAGAAATGTTAAACACTGATACATTGGTTGCTAATAAAAAGCTTTTAAACATTAAAGATCATTTGGATAGTGACAATACCAGTGAGAATGAAGAATTCAATAGTCCTGATACATATAAAGATGAAGATTCAAATAGTATGCAAAATGATACTGCTTCTCTGCATCTGTATGATGAAGAATGTATTTTAGAACCAGATGATGTTAGCCCTGTATCTTCAAGTGAAGATGAAATTAAAATTACTTTTAAAGAAACAACATTTGAATTTTTAACAAAGCTTGCACAATGGGCTATTGAATCTAGATTGCCACGCGAAAAAATTAATGAACTTCTGAAGATCTTGGATAATTGTGGGAGGTTCAACAAAGGTGACATCCCAAAAGATGCTCGTGCCTTATTACACACTCCTCGAACTGTTAACACCGTGCAAACGTCTGGTGGTCATTTTGCTTATTTTGGTTTAGAAAAAAGTTTAATTCAAAAGATTCTTTCTCTACCTTTTATTTTCAAAGATCGAACAGTTTTAAAATTAAATATTAATATTGATGGGGTTCCTATTCATCGTTCAAGTAATCTCCAATTTTGGCCTATTTTATGTGCTTTCCATGGTATTAATACAACTCCATTTGTAATAGCTATATTTAGTGGTTATAGAAAACCATTAAACATTAATGAATATTTAGAGCAGTTTATTGATGAAATCAACTTTTTGCAGAAAAATTCTATGGTGGTTGATGGCAAGATATATGAAATAAAGCTTAATGCATTTATTTGTGATGCTCCTGCCAGAGCTTTTGTTAAATGTGTATCAGGCCATACCTCAAAGCAAGGATGTGAAAGATGCACTTGTGAAGGCCAATCTGTAGAAAGAAGAATAATTTTTTCGAATGCAGGTGAATGTAGAACAGATTCTTTATTTCGGTTAGGACAATATCCTAAGCATTACTTAAGTAAAAGTCCTGCTCTTAATATTGATCATTTTGATGTTATTAAAGGTTTTCCATTAGAATCAATGCATTTATTGTTTCTTGGGGTTTGCAGGAGATATTTAATGTTTCTTAAAACAGGGCCACGAAATGTTAGACTCAGCCATGCTCAGCTAAATACTATATCATTACGCTTAACAGAATTATCACAATATACACCATCAGATTTTATGAGACGACCACGCAGTTTATTTGAAGTGGATCGTTGGAAAGCTACAGAGTTTCGGCAGTTGGTTTTATACACTGGTATTTTGATATTTAAAGGTGTACTTAACGATCAGCATTACGATTTATTTAAATCATTTTTTATAGCTGTACGGATTTTACACATTGATAATGATGAATATAGAAACAAGTTGTTGGGGTTTGCACGTTGCCTATTTCAAAGTTTTGTCTACAATGCTAAAATACTTTGTGGTGAAACCTTCCTTACATACAATGTTCACAATTTACTTCACATTGTCGATGATGTAGAATATTTTAGGTGTTCACTTAGTTATTTATCTTCTTTTCCTTTTGAAAACTTTTTACAATGTTTGAAACGAACTGTTCGAGATGCGAAAACTAATCCCTTAACATCATACACTAAAAGATTTTTTGAAGCTTCACAAATTCAGCTATCTACTTATGAAACAATGTTAAATATGAAAGTGTCAACAATTAGAAGAGACCAATTCTTTATTAGTAAGAATGAAAAATATTGTGAAGTTATTGGAATTTCAGGATCAAGTGATAATCAACAATTACTTTGTTTAGTTATCAATCCAAGCCAGTTAAAAAGTTTTTTTGATGTACCTTTAGATAGTAGACAGTGGGGTATACTTTGTTGTGACAGTATTAGAAAATTGAAGCGTAAAACTGTAACTTTAAATAAAGCTGACGTTTATAAAAAACTGTATGCAATGAAGTATGGCGATGACGGTTTGCTCTTTGTTCCAGTTCTTCACAAAAATGAATGCAAACAATAGTTCAATTGTATTTAGTTTTTAGTTAATTCAAAAAAAAATTTTCATTGTTACAAGTATAATGCTATTTTTAAAACAATTAACAGTTGTTTGCACATATAATGAAGAAATGATTTTTTTGTTGTTGTTGATATTATTTTCATTTATTTTAACTATTGACTATAATTTACAAAATGTTCTGTATTATTTATTTTTGATTGACAAAAAAATTAAGATTTTAGAAACTTATTACTTGCGCTGTTGGTAATAATCATTGCTTCTGAAGTCATTGCTTCACAGACACTTTATGGTTTGATTAATTTGCTTTTTGTGTGTTTTACATTTGTATTTGATGTGTTTGTTGTATATATATATATATATATATATATATATATATATATATATATATATATATATATATATATATATATATATATATATATATATATATATATATTATATTTATATAT